CAGCGTATGCAAACACGTTGACGCGCAAATGCACGAAAACTGTCGGCTGTCGGTCGACGGGGTCGGTGGTCGGATGTCGGTCGGCTAAATTTCCCGACCGAATGGAAGCCTTATCTCCCTCTAATCCTCTCAAATCAGGATGTTTTGTGATCATTCTTATCATATGTTATCGATAAGAAGGACATCTGTGTTGTTATCTCTTTCTTATCATGTCATAACATTCAAGGAAGATTCTCTTTTTCGAAATCCAAGCATATCGATATCTCACTGTCGATTGATTTTCAGCAATGTCCGAATCGCCGACGATAGGCGACGTGGCGGCGAGTCGCCATCAAATGGGACTCTGGTCGTGTATGAGTTATGTTATCGGTGAGTTTAAGAATGTTGAAAATTTTTGCTAAAATTTTTTTCAGAACAGTCTAGAAATAGCTTCAGATACGACTATCGTATTTATTTTACACTAGAAGCTCTTTAGCTAATTTTGAGCTCAATTATCTCGGTTACTGTAGGAGATATCGAAATGTGGTGGATAAATTGTTTATCATAATATCACCAACATTTTATCAGTTGACTGATTTTTGATATCTTGCATAGGAGCTGAGATAATTGAGCCTAAAGTGGACAGCTCAAAGAACGATCTGAAAATGGTTGGGTTTTTGAAGAAAATGTGCCAATTTAGATCCCAAAGTATCTCTAGATGTGGTAAAACCAATCTAATACGATTTTTTTTAAACTAATAATGCTCAAAACAGTCAATGAGTTGAAAACAGTCGGTTTAGGCCCATTCGGGACTAAACCTCCTGGCTTCTGGTCCCCCTTTCTGCCCACCACCCTTTACTGAGGTGAAACCAAGGAACGTCTCCAGAAGACTCCAAAATCAAAAATAAAAAAAAGTAGAAATAAATCTAGGCTAATCTATAGGTAAGACATCCTGGGACACAAACTATTTAAAGAGGCATAACTCGGCTCAAAATGGGAATTTCAGTCAGAATCAAACTGCATAATGTAGAACTTGAAAAGATCTACAAAAATATATAAATTTTGGCTATAAAGTGCGGTTGGGAAGGTCCAGACCGCGGCCCGACCGTGGTCTATTCGAAAAATTTTAATCCTGGTCTTGTTTAGGCTCATTTTGAAGCTCTCAATCAGCTGAATCTTAAAAATTCAATTATTGGAAAACTAGATTAAATTTTCAAAAGTGATGATGGTATTTTCAAAATCTTTCCTATTGATTTTTGCTTTGCTTTTTTTTCCAACCAGTGGGTTTACGCCCTAAACCTCTTGGCCCCAAACCAAGGAACGTCTCCAGAAGACTTCAGAACCAAAATTTCGAAAAACGAAAAGTTCGGGCATCAATTAAGACACAATTCTGACCTATCTGTCCAGGTTTCAGCTTAATCGGTTAACTTTGAATGGGTGAAAAGTCGCGCGACAGACATACAAAGTTTGGTGAATGTTACCTTGAAGAGTGACTTGGGGACTGGATTATCACCGTTTCTGGGAAAGATATCAAAAAGTGGTCAACTGATAAAATGTAGGAAATTCAATTTTACACATTTTACTAGTTGACCACTTTTTGATATTTCTTACAGTAACCGAGATAAATGGGCTACATATATACGCACATACAGAATCTGGTGAATGTTATTAGTAATGATTTATTAAGTTTACTTAAGTAATGGTTGAAAGTGGCCTGAACTACTGTCGAAAATTAACAGAAAATCACTGTTTTCCAGCCAACATCATCGGCGCTGGAATCTTCATCACACCTGGACCAATTCTACAGTACACCTATTCGAATGGTCTCGCATTGATTGTATGGATTGGATGTGGATTAATCTCGCTGATCGGCGGGATTTGTTATATTGAGCTGGGAACGTCGATTCATGATCCCGGTTGTGACTTCGCCTATAACGTGGGTGTTAATTTGGCTGAAAATGAAATATGTTGAAAAAATTCAAATTGCTCCGATTTTTCGAAAAATTTCAAAATGATCCGTTTCTGATAAAAATTGATATGACCGCCCGAAATTGTGTACAAAACAATATAAGAACAAAATTTTCTCAAAAAATCGAAAATTGGAAAAAAAATTTTTTTGAAAAATTTCAAAATGATCCGTTTTTGATAAAAATTGATATGACGGCCTAAAATCGTGTAAAGAACAATATAATAGCAATTTTTCTTTGAAAAATCGAAAATAAAAAAAAATAATTTCTGGCAGTTTTTGGCAATTTTTGAAAAAAATTGGATATTTCGAAATTTTTTTGGAATTTTTTGGAGTTTTCGGATCTTCTAGAATTTAGGTGTTTTTTTGTGATTTCGGATTACTGTAGATTTTTGAGGAGTACTGTAGTTGTGAGCTATTTTCAGGTCTACGTCGGTTGGGAAGGCATCGCGTTCTCGTTCATGTGGGTCGGGGTCATCATGTCATTTCCAGCGTCAGCAGCAGTTCAAGCGCAGACTTTTGGACAGTATATTGGTGAGAAGACTATTCGATTCGCAAATGGCCTGTCTAGAGATTGAGCAGGGCTGTAGGCTAGGTCGACCGTCGACCAATCAGGCCGACCGGCCGAAACAGGACCACGTAACTACCGTAATCGAATCATGATTCTTGCAACTAAATCGGATTTTATAGAATTCGACGAGTACTTTTTGGAATACTGTATCTGGTCTATGAGCAAAGTTACAGGCCATGAAACGGTTTTTAGCTAGTAACTTCTTCATAAACAATACACAGTATCCCAAATTGTATTATTTTGTAGTGCTCAGCGAGTTCTACAGTACCCAATTCAGTTGGTCCCAAAAATGTTGATCGTAAAGGAAGTTTGGTCCCGTTTTAGGCCCGTTTTCAAGTACCCCTACATGGCCTTTGAGCTCAATTATCTTGGTTTCTATCAAAGATATCAATAAGTGATCAACTGATAAATCGATTATCATAATATCAGCTACATTTTATCAGTTGACAGATGTTTGATATCTCCTACAGTAACCGAGATATAGGGGCTTAAAGTTGATCAGTTTACAGTATACAATTAATACCAATTTTTCCAGTCGCCGGCCTGGACCCTGTGTGGCATCTCGACTCGCCGTGGGATCAAATTTTCGAGCGAGGACTTGGATTCGCACTAATTAGTGAGTGTTTTTGAGAAAAAGAGCCTAAATCCAGACGTATCATAGGGCCCTAAATTGCCTGAAAAGCCTAAAATCTAGAAAAATTTCAAATTGACTCAATTTCGATGAAAATTGATATGACGACCTAAAATTGACTCAAGAATCATTTGATGTCAAAATTTTTCGAAAAAATCAAAAATTGAAAAAAAAATTTATGAAAATTTTAGAAAAATTTTTTTTTTCAATTTTTGATTTTTTCGAAAAAATTTTTACACTATATGATTTTTCAGCCGATTTCAGGTCGTCATATCAATTTTTATCAAAAACTGATAAAAAATTTTCCAGTCATCCTCACTATCCTCAACCTGTACGCCATCGACAAATACGCCTCAAAATTCCAAATCGTCGTCACCATCGCGAAGCTCTTATCACTGGCCCTTATCATCTGCACTGGATTCTATTTTTTGATAGTCAAAGGATGGACCAAGAATCTGGAGCATCCATTCGAAGGGTCCAACACGAATCCCGGACAGATATCGTTGGCTTTCTATGGAGCACTGTGGAGTTTCGCCGGATGGGATATTCTGAATTATGGGACACCGGAGATTTATAAGCCAAGGAGGTACGGTGATAGCGGAAAAAGCTGAAAATTGCGGACTTTTAACGCTAAAATAGCTGAAAATCGCTGAAAATCGCTGAAAATCGAGAAAATTTCAAAATGCTCCAATTCTGATAAAAATTGATATCACGACCTAAATTAGCGTGGAAAACAATATCAGCTGGAAAAATTGCGAAAAAATCAAAAATTGAAAAAAAATTTTTTTTGAAATTTTTCGAAAAAAAAAATTTTTATTAACAACATTTTTTTTCGAAAATTTTCACATTTTGTGATTTTTTAGACGATTTCAGGTCGTCATATCAATTTTTATCAGAATTGGAGCAATTTGAAATTTTCGGAAAAATCAGGTCATTTTCACCGGATTTTAGCCATTTTTAGCTTAAAAAACTAGATTTTCCGCTCATTTTCAAAATTTCCAGCCCCCAAATCTCGAATTTCTTCCAGAACAATGCCCATAGCGCTACTCGGTGGTGTGTCCATCGTCACAGCAATCTACGTGGCCATGAACGTCTCCTATATGACCGTACTCTCGCCCGGACAGATATGAATTCGACCGCGGTGGCCGCGGATTTCGCCCAAGTCACTCTGGGCAGTTTCAGTTATGCCATCCCCTTCATGATTGCTCTTTTGTTGATCGGAACACTCAATAGTAATATCTTCTGCGGATCCAGGTGAGCATTTTTGGGGAAAAAATTCGAATTGCTCCGATTCTGATAAAAATTGATATGACGGCCTAAAATGATAAGAAAAATAAGATAAACTAGGAAAAATTCAGAAAAATCGAAAATTGAAAAACTTTTTTTTTCGAAATTTGTGACAAAATTGAACATTTTCAAATTGCTCCGATTCTGATAAAAATTGATATGACGACCTAAAATCTTCTTGAAATTCATATAATGTTGAAATTTCCCAAAAAAATCGATAATTGAAAAACTTTTTTAAAAGAATTTTTCGAAAAAAAAATTTCAAAAAACTTTTTTTTTTCAATTTTCAATTTTTTCGAAAAATTTTAACAGCATACGATTTTTCAGACAATTTCAGCTCGTCATATCAATTTTTATCAGAATCGGAGCAATTTGAATTTTTGAGCTTTTTCGACCCGATTAACGCTAATTTTAGTCAGTTTGGGATCATTTTCAGTGGATTTTCAGCCAAATTTCAACTCCCAAATTCCAGATTCACCCACGCGGCCGCCCGTGAGGGACATCTTCCAACATTCCTCTCCTGTATCAACGAAGAATCGAATAGTCCCCGAGCGGCACTCCTCTTCCAACTGATCTGCACGATCGCAGTCACCTTCGTTGATACGAATTCCCTTATCAACTACGTGGCATTTGTGATGTTCGGACAACGAGTATTCACAATGACAGCACTGATGTGGATACGGTATCGAAAGATTCCCGTTCATCCGGATGCTATTCAAGTCCCAATCCTCTTCTCTATCCTTTTTTGGATTATTACCATTGCACTGGTCGTTGTTCCGTTCATTGAGGAGACTAAGGTACGGTTTTGAGCTATAACTAGCTGAAAATTAGAAAAAAAAGAGCCTAAAATCATGAAAAACCGGCCAATTTTGAGGCAAAATAAGCCAAAAATTGGTCTAAAATCGAACATTTTCAAATTGCTCCGATTCTGATAAAAATTGATATGACGACCTGAAATTGCTCATCAAACAATATGATAATGGAAAAATTTCGAAAAAATCGAAATTTGAAAAAAAAGTTTTTTTTTTAAATTTTCGAAATATTTGAAAAATTTCAAAATGCTCCGATTCTGATAAAAATTGATATCACGACCTAAACTGGCGAGATAAGAATTATGACAAAAGAAATTTTTGAAAAAATTGAAATTTGAAAAAAAAATTTTTTTGGAAATTTTTGAAAAAATTAAAAAAAATTTTTTTTTTCAAATATCGATTTTTTGAAAAAATTGTTTTCTTATATTGTTGCGTACATGAGTTCAGGTCGTGATATCAATTTTTATCAAAATTGGACGATTTTAAAAATTTTCGAAAAAAAAAAATTTTTTTTGAAATTTTCAGCCTAAAAACTCTAATTTTTGACCTATATTTTCAGCATACTGTCGTTGGTGTGGCTCTGGTACTGATGGGATTGATCCTCTATGCGATCTTCATGAAACCAAAGAAACTTCCAGAATTCATGATGAAACTCAATGGTAAGGGTCCTTTTTTTGGGCTTTATGGTGCCTAAAAATCAGCTGAACGGGCTGAAAATCGTTTTTAAGAGCGCTTTTTCGACAATTTCAGTCAAAAATTCCACATTTTCAGACAATTTTGAGGCTTACTGAGCTTTAAAGTTGGCTCAAAACCCCAAACCCCCTTTTTATGCAATTTCAGTTAAAAATTCCCAAAATTTCCAGACGGAATGACACGTGTCACTTGTCGTGTGCTCTTCTCGACGCCCGATCTGAAACATCATGCACTGGGCGGAAGATCCGTCTCTGAAACGGCCGAGACGCTGAAAATCGACAACGGTGAGCAAGGGAATGAGGATACTACAGTATCCTCACGATTTCGCAGTGAGTTTTTCAAGAGGGATTTTGAGCTGAAAATTAGCTGTTTTAGGCTTGAAATAGTGTGAAAAAATAAGCCAAAAATCATAAAAATTGAGCACAGAATACAAAAATTTTCAAATTGCTCCAATTTTGATAAAAAATTGATATGACGACCTGAAATCGTGTATAAAACAACATTTTGAAAAAATAATCTCAAAAAATCAATATTTGAAAAAAAAATTTTTTTTTGAAAATTTTGAAAAAATTTTCTAAAATTTCAAAATGCTCCGATTTTGATAAAAATCGATATCACGATCTGAAATAGTTTAAGAAACAGAATGAGAACAAATTTTTTTCAAAAAATCGAAAATTGAAAAAAAAAAGTTTTTTTGAAAATTTTGAAAAATTTTCAAAATTTTCAAAATGCTCCAATTTGATAAAAATTGATATGACGACCTGAAATCGTGTATAAAACAACATTTTGAAAAAATAATCTCAAAAAATCAATATTTGAAAAAAAAATTTTTTTTTGAAAATTTTGAAAAAATTTTCTAAAATTTCAAAATGCTCCGATTTTGATAAAAATCGATATCACGATCTGAAATAGTTTAAGAAACAGAATGAGAACAAATTTTTTTCAAAAAATCGAAAATTGAAAAAAAAAAGTTTTTTTGAAAATTTTGAAAAATTTTCAAAATTTTCAAAATGCTCCAATTTTGATAAAAATTGATATGACGACCTAAAATGATGTTAAACGATATTTTGTAGAAATTATCTCAAAAAATCGATACTTGAAAAAAATTTTTCAAAATTTTCAAAAAAAAATTTTTTTTTTTGATTTTTTATTTTTTTTGGAAAAATTTTGTCCTATGCTGTTTTGTACACAATTTCAAGCCGTCATATCAATTTTTATCACAATTGAAGCATTTTGAAATTTTAAGCCTTTTTCTAGACGAATCAACACTGAACGCCGACGAACGTACGGCTCTACCGACGTCTTCTGAAGAGGCGACGCATCTGTAAACCCTCATTTTCACTCTATGGATTCTTCGATTAAAAAATTTTCATTTTTCTCACTTTTTCTGAAATTCAGAACTTTTCTAATTTTTCACATTTTTTTTCTGTAAATTTTGGCGTTTTTTATCAGCTTTAACCCCCCAAAATTCATCCCAAAATTTCTCTTTTTTAGTGCAATCCATCTTCTTTTTTTTCAAAAATTTCAAATTTCCCGCCAGTTTTTTTTAATCTGAAAATCTCATCTGAAATTCAACATAATCCACATTCCTTCACATTTTTTTTCCATTTTTTTCACGATTTTCCAAATTTTTAAAATTTTTTGTAGCAAATGCGCTCTAATGAACACTGAAAATTCATTTTCAGAATCAAGTAAATTCTTTTCAGGACAATTTGGATTTTCGCATTTTTAGATTTATTTTTATGTTTTTTTTTAATTTTTGTTTTATTTTTTTAGATTTTGGAGTTTCTGTTTATAAGAGAATTTTGGGAAAATTGAATTTTAAAAAATTTGAAAATCAACAATTTCGAATTTAAAAAAATTACCAAATTTTGATGACCTAGAAACCCAAATTTCAAGGAAAACTCGGCCAAGATTACTGTAGTATCATTCGATTCCTCGATTTCTATTGATTTTACCGTTCTTTGAAAATCATTTTGAAACAAGTTACACCCATTTATAACCTCTGGCCTAGAAATTGAAAATTCTTATAACCTCTGGCCTAGAAATTGAAAAATTTTTCATTTTTTTCACGATTTTCCAAATTTTTAAAATTTTTAAACCCCCGTTTATCTCGGTTACTGTAAGAGATATCAAAAATTGGTCAACTGATAAAATGTTTCTGATATTATGATAAACATTTTATCAGTTGACAACTTTTCGATACCTGTTACAGTAACCCTGACAAATTAGGTCAAAGTTAGAGGCTCTTTCTAACACTTTGCACCCATATATCTGGGTTACTGTAAGAGATATCGAAAAATCATTAATTGATAAAATGTTCATCATAATATCAGTAACAATTTGTTAGTTAATCACTTTTTTGTATCTCTTACAGTAACCCTGATAAATTAGTTCCTGTCCTTACAGCATTATTGTTTGCGACTTGGGATAAAGATGGATTAGCCACTTGTTGATCGCCGCGAAGAAGAAGAATTTGAATTTTAAACGTTTCTCAAAGGAGAAATTTCAAAATACTGTCATTCGGCTCAAACTGAAAATTAAGCGCTCAAATTTGGCATAAATAAAAAGAAGACCCTGAATCAAATAAAACATTTTTTATTGAACAAGAATGAGAGGAAAAACTTTCAACAGCAAAATTAGAAGACAAATCCAAAATCATATCGGTATTCACTTCTCGTACCACTCCATGGTGCTTTGGGTCTGTTTATTGGTGACACGAATATGTTTATTGAATTCCTGCACTTTGACCTGTCGACCGACCGTCGTATTCACTCGACACGGCACCTTAAAACTGTTTTTAGCACCATTTATCTGGGTTACTGTAGGAGATATCCAAAAATTGCCAACTGATAAAATGTTAAGCATAATATCCTTAACATTTTATCAGTTGACAACTTTTTGATATCTTCTACAGTAACCTAGATAAATCGGGTCAAAGTTAGAGGGGGTTCTTCCAACACTGCTGTGAAACAGGATCTCTAGCTTTAAGCCTGTTTATCTGCGTTACTGTAAGAGATATCAAAAAGTGGTCGACTGATAAAATCTTAAGCATAATATTAAAAACAATTTACCAGTTGACTCCTTTTGGATATCTCTTACAGTAACCGAGATATGTCGGCTCAAAGTTCGAGAATCCTTCTAACAAAATGTTCGAAGCACCTTCAACTTTAACCCCATTTATCTGGGTTACTGTAAGAGATATCAAGAAGTTGTCAACTGATGAAATGTTATGCACAAGTTGAAACACATTTTTACAGTTGGCCACTTTTTGATATCTACTACAGTAACCCAGATAAATGTGCTCAAAGTTTGTAGGTTTACCGCATTGGCTGGAACTTGCGTTGGAGTCGGATTCGCGACTTGTTGATCTCTTTTTGGTGGCATTTTTTCTGAAATTCTGAAATTTAGAAGAACAATAAAAGGGAAATGTGTCTATTCTTGTTAAGGAGTTACCTATTTATACAGGGAGTATACTGTAAACATGGTATGAATCCCGCCCTTCAGGCGCCAAGTATAATACCTTATAATACCTACACGGGTGACGCCCATAGTTGTTTTAATGTTATGAGTCAAACATTGAGAGTGATAAGCAGAACCAATCGTATCTAAAACAAACTTTGCTGAGGAATAAACAGTGTTGGACGTGACAATGGGTAGCGGAGCACCATACGGTAGGACTACCGTAACTTTATGCCCATTTTTCTAAATTTCAGAATTAGACTTAGACACGATTAGACTCATTTTTTATTTGTTGTTCTGCTCAAATTTCAGAATTTCAGAAGAAAATGCCACCAAAAAGAGATCAACAAGTCGCGAATCCGACTCCAACGCAAGTTGACCCCATTTATCTGGGTTACTGTAGGAGATATCGAAAAATTGTCAACTGATAGAAACTTTCAGAATTGCATCAACATTGGTCAAGGTATGGTAGTTTATAGTTTGTGCTCAAAAATCTTGACCGAGAAATCCGATTTTCTAGGCCATGAGGGGCGAAAAAGGCCCAAAAAATTTGAATTTCATGTCTAGCTTGTCTGAGCAATTAATATAAGCCTACACTTGACATATTTTGATTACTTTTCAAAGAATTATAGGCAACAAAAACAACGAGAAAGTTGAAAAATCAGCAGCAATGCATTTTTGAACTTCTCCTGGGTTACTGTAGGAGGTATTGAAAAGTGGTCAACTGTTAAATTGGTTCTGATATCATGCTTACCATTTTATCAGTTGACAACTTTTTGATATCTCTTACAGTACCCGAGATAAACGGCATCAAAGTTAGAGTCATCTTTTCAAAGCAAAGTTAGAAGAATCCTTTGACTTTGATTCAATTTATCTCGAGTACTGTGAAAGATAACAAAAAGTTGTCAACTGATAAAATGTTAAGGATATTATGCTTAACATTTTATCAGTTGACAATTTTTCGATATCTCCTACAGTAACCCAGATAAATGGGGTCAACTTGCGTTGGAGTCGGATTCGCGACTTGTTGATCTCTTTTTGGTGGCATTTTTTTCTGAAATTCTGAAATTTGAGCAGAACAACAAATAAAAAATGAGTCTAATCGTGTCTAAGTCTAATTCTGAAATTTAGAAAAATGGGCTCAAAGTTACGGTAGTCCTACAGTATGGTGCTCCGCTACCCATTGTCACGTCCAACACTGTTTATTCCTCAGCAAAGTTTGTTTTAGATACGATTTGAGCACAACAAATTTGTTTTGTCTTGGTTCTGCTTATCACTCTCAATGTTTGACTCATAACATTAAAACAACTATGGGCGTCACCCGTGTAGGTATTATAAGGTATTATACTTGGCGCCTGAAGGGCGGGATTCATACCATGTTTACAGTATACTCCCTGTATAAATAGGTAACTCCTTAACAAGAATAGACACATTTCCCTTTTATTGTTCTTCTAAATTTCAGAATTTCAGAAAAAATGCCACCAAAAAGAGATCAACAAGTCGCGAATCCGACTCCAACGCAAGTTCCAGCCAATGCGGTAAACCTACAAACTTTGAGCACATTTATCTGGGTTACTGTAGTAGATATCAAAAAGTGGCCAACTGTAAAAATGTGTTTCAACTTGTGCATAACATTTCATCAGTTGACAACTTCTTGATATCTCTTACAGTAACCCAGATAAATGGGGTTAAAGTTGAAGGGGCTTCGAAAATTTTGTTAGAAGGATTCTCGAACTTTGAGCCAACATATCTCGGTTACTGTAAGAGATATCTGAATTTTTATGCTTTGAAATTTTAGAATTTCAGATCATTTGAGTCTTTTTCAGCTATTCCAATCCAATTTCGACCCATTTTGAGCCAATTTTCAGCCATTTGACTCACTTCAAGCCATTTACAGTCATTTGAGACATTTTCAGCCAATTTTGACTCATTTTGAGCCAGTTTTCAGCCATTTCGAGTCCTTTTTCGCTGTTTCAAACCTTCCCTTTCATCTGAAACTCTGGGAAAAATCAAGATTTTTTTTTTGATTTTTTAGCCAATAATCACCAATTTTCCAGTTTTTTTGTTGCTTTTTTTATCTTTCTTCAGGACCTTTTCCGCTGATTTTTCAGAAATTTCCTGAGGCAACTATGGCTGACAATAGGGACGACGAGGACTTCGCCATGGAACCTCTCGGAAGAGAGTTGACAGCCGCTGAGAAGGAGGAGCTTCCGAAGCAGAAAGATTTGGAATCGACTCCCGATCTGGCTGCCAATTATGGAGATATGATTGAAAAGCTGTTGGGTGCGATTACCAATTATAAATAGAATGATCTAGAAAGAAAGCGGAAATTTCAGTAACGCTTGCTGATATTCAGAAGATGGTCACCTACCTTAAACAAATCGGTAATGCAAAGAAGACCGCGGAGGAGCAAAATTCGGTTAGTCCATTTCGATCTTTTTTTTCATGATTTTCATAGCAGGTTTCTGGAAATTCCAGCTTTCTAGCTCATCTAGCAGTCGAGTTATAACCTTTTCGAAGATTTTCGGTCATAGTAAGAGGATCTGAAGCTAAAACTACGATTTTTAAAGCCAGCTTTGTCAAAACTAGGCTATAAACAGGATTTTTCAGCTGAAAACATTATGCTTGTCTGAGAAAAAAAAATTTGAGACGCAGAAAAAAAGTGTCTGCGTCTCCACCGTTTGTACTTGTTCACTTTTAATCAATTTCTGCAAATGTTTTCTTCGCACTAACAATTTTTAGTTTTTAGACGATTGAACCTACTTCTGATCCAACTCAAATGGATCTGACAAAGAATGAGGGAGCTGTTCAACCCCATCATGAAGAATCAAGTTCTGCGGGTACAGAACCGCCATTCAAAACCATTAGTTATAATTTGTTACAACTGATAAATCCAATACCACCTGATACTCCTAGCGATAGAAAATGTTGGACTACAAAACAAGAGAAAGAAGTTCTCAAAAGAGAGAAGGAGCAGGACCAGATAAATGAAATGGAAGCAAAGGCTTGTTCTTGAAGTTCTTTTTTATTTTCAAATCGTGAATTCTTACAGGTTAAAAATGCTATACATGACCGCCAAGTGGAGGTGGAGAGCATGAACCGCCGCCGTGAAAAATATTCAACAGATCTTGCTAATGAAGCTCGCAGAAAAAGTCAAGCTAATGAAATCAAAGTTCGCCAAGCCGAAAAAACTCGAAGGAAAAAGGAAGCCATCGCAAAAATACAAACAGAGCAATATCCTCACTAAATCTTCTTATAATCAAGCATTTTCGATCAATTCCTGTTACTAAAAATGAATAAAAGCATACATTTGTTTAACAGAGTCTATGAATTGATAAGAACTCACATGACGAAATCACATGACGCTCTCACTCGCCGCTTGTGAAGTTTTTATCAGTTTTTTCATCAGAAAGTTTTTCGCAATTTTTTGCATATTTACAGCGAGTTAATTTCTCTCAATTTTTTTGCATATTTGTATAGCCTCATTAACTCCTTATCAGTGGAAAATGAGAAAGTATTTCAACATCTTTCGAAACTTTCCACTATCAGCATCACTAGTTTTATCTATAGTCAGGAAACAATACTTGTCTTTCCACACAGCAGAAGTCAACTCTAGAAACTTTTTCTTATCAATTTCACTACAATGATCTCGGTAAATATAATCCAAGTTCAGCTTGTCTTGGGGAAAAACAATAAAAAAGTTGGCATTTTCTCTAATCGTGTTCTTTGGAAGTTTGATGTAGTTTTGGGAAATATAAAAACAGTTGATGTTGTTGTGTCGACCTTTAGTGTAGTATTGTTCTATCTTGTTTTGTTTTTCTAACATTAAATCATCAAATATTATCAGAATCTTTTTGTTAGGATCAATGGAACTAGGGTCAGGAATATCATCACAATTATCAGAGGTGTTTATAGTTATTTGAGGCTTGTCATTTTTATAAACTGTAAAATTTTGTCTCTGAAAACATTCTCTAATTTCTTTCTTAGACAAACCATTTTCAAAACCACTGATAAGAACTTTATAGCAGGGTTGAAATAATGTAGAAGAAAATATCATCAAGTTATCATAGTCTAAATAATCCTCACCATTAAATCCATCCAACAGTAAATTCATTAACAAGTTAGTTTTTCCACATCCAGACTTTCCGATAATACAAGCTCTTATTGAACTAGGAAGTAAAGGGTTGTTGTTTCTTTTTGAGTAATAGTTTTTGATAGAGTAATCACTAAAATCAGATGACATTCGCAGATTTATTATGATAAACTTTACAACTAATAAATGGTTCACTTATTTCTCGACATGAAATCTAGGGAAAAGTCATTTCAGTTTGATTTCCCTCAAGATTTCAAACCTACTTCAATTGCAGTAGTCAGTGTTAATGGAACATTAGAATGTGATAAGAATAGTTTCACCTATGTTACATGTAGCTTCATTTGTGATAGCTATTTGAATGAGAGACAAAGTAATATACTTTGCAAATTTGCTAGCAACGATAAAAAGGTAAAGTACGAACCTTATAATTTGGTTTCTCATAAAATAGTTAATAAAAGTAATACGCTTGTTTTGAAACTTTTAAATGATGATTATAAGGCGTGTGATATTCATATAGAGTTACTTATTGATTAATTCTTTTAAAACCTGATCCACTTTTGAGTGCTTTCAGAAACTTGCTATTCTCTTTTGAAACTTTAATTTCAGTTTTATTAGTAGTAGGTTGAGCGGTGGCAGGCTTATGAACTAACTCTACTTTTTCTTTTACTATTGGGGAAACAATAGCATAACTTGAATTTTTGTCCTGTGTATTAAAGAATCTCATTTATTGAAGATTAAATTTAGTCAACTGTAAGAGATTGAACAGATGGACGATGTACCATTTCTCTTAATTCTACAGCCTCATATTCTCTTCTTCGCTTTCTATTTTTTCTATCAATGAATGTCTTTGGTGAAAGTATCACTCATATCGATCTACCTACAAATATATACACCACAGCAACTCCAAGTGTTACACCAACTCTCCAAATTCTAAGCCACCATTTTCCAAAGAATCCTTCAACATCATCTAATATTTCGTGAGGTAAAGTAGAGTCTTGATTACTTGCATGTGCTTCAATAGAGGAATCCGATTTTTCTCGCATTTCTTCTATGAGCTCTTCTTCAATATTCGCCTTCATGTCTAACAAAATGTGCTCATGAAATACTACTTTATCGTCTAAGAACTTTAAATCATACTCTTTGAAATCTTTCATATTAGTAATGTTACTTCTATAATCAATCATAGGATGAAGCCGCGGTTTGCTTGATATCACTCCTCCAAAATTATCATTCTTATAGTACCAAATTTTATCTCCAAGACTTTTTATCTTGATTGGGATTTGTCCAAGTGTGAGAGCAATACTTAACTTGTATCCATCGAAATGAGTAACGTCTATGAAATCTATCTCATCTTCATCAATTTCTTTACAAAATGTAACTTGTACAACTTCCGCAGTATCGATAAATCTTACTTTGACGGCTGAATGATTCAATTGTTTTTGGATGTATCTCCTTGGATTTTCTCTTATAAGACTTTCAAGTACTTCATTCTGTTCGTTGAAAATATCACACATTACTTCGGTTGTATGGCGTAGTAGATTGTTGGATTGATTTTCAAGATATTGGAATTCTCCCGCTGCTTGAAAATCTGAGTATAGCTCTCTTCTCCTTCTTTGCTTTCCTGTTTGAAACAGTTCATAATTGGCTATCCGTTTGATAAACTCTGTATAAATTGGGAATGCATCACAGCTTTCTCTGATGGTCTTGTATTCATCATAAGTTGGTAGAATGGCACAATCTTCCTTAATATTCAAATATTCTTCGTATCCAGGGAATGGTAGAGGCTGCCACGTTTTATCTGTTAATGAATTAAAGTGTTGTTCTTTCTCAAAGTTTGCAATTTTGTTTATAAAATCTGTATAAGTTGTTAACGAATCACATCCTTCTCTGCTATTTTTAAAAGCTTCATAGCTTGGTAGGTTGTCGCAATCTTGTTTGATTTTTAGATATTCGTTGTAATCTGGTAATGGTAATGGTTGGAAGATTTCTCTTTTGGTTCTGTTTGCCTTTTTGTCTCCACCTTTTGGAGCCCCATCATAAACTGTCCAATCTTCTTCTTTGCGCTGTTTTGGGAGCTCATGAGTTTTCTTAATTTTCTCTTGCTTCTTTTTCTCATATTCTTCCTCTCTCTTCAGTTTTTCTTGTTTTCTCTTTTCGAAATCTGCTTCATTCTGTTTTCTTCTAGCGTCTTCTTGTTCACGTCTTAATAGTTCTTCCCGGTTTCTGATATCTTCTTCACGTTTTCTTTGATCTTCTTGTTCACGTTTTCTAGCATCTTCTTGCTCACGCCTTCTTCTGTCATCCTCCTGCTGTTGTCTTTGAGGATATGTTGGAATTGGAACGGGAATTTGTCTTGGAGAAAATTGTGATCTTTGTATTCTTCTTACAGCGAAGCCTTCATCACTAATCACCAAGTCTAAATTACAGTCTTTCACAGTTTTGTTTGTTTGGAAGTTCAATGCAATCTGGTTTTTGTTATTAACCCATAGGTTGTTGTTGTACATTCCATCTAGTATTCCAATCGAGATGTATTGGCATTTCTGATCTCTGTTAACATCCCATGTGATAATCTCATTTTTCTTGATCTCACAGAAACCGTCTTGATATTTACAATTGTTCATATCAGCTAGAATATTGGTTGGCTTAGTTTGATTGAAATGTGAATAAACTTTTGTCTCAATAACTATACAATTTTCCTTGTAATATCTTTTAGGTGAGAAGAAACTTGTAAATCTGTTAGGATAGTCTACTTCAATTTTATTATTTGTACTCCAGGTATTAGATTTCCCCTTAGATAGTGTTCCGTACCCACATTTCTTACTATTAATCATTTCTCTACATTCGGCAAGTGTGATGGGATAGTTATTCAATTCTTTTTCTACTAGGTGTTCATAACCAGAGAAGTCGGTGTACATTGAAACTTCACTAACTAATTTTTTACACAGTTTTGCATCGGAAATATACTCTATGATATTGTGTTTGAAAACTTCATACTGTACTACCTCTGATCGACTGTTAAGAATTCTATGATAATTGCATTTGTGTAGTTTTGGGATTCTAAACTATTGGACAGGGGAGTTGTCGGTACAAATTATAGGTTTGGCTAATGCTGCTTCTTGATGTAAAGTTAAAATCAAAATCATCACAGATATTATCCTCATTTATTACTTTGAAAATTAGTCAATAAAAATTCACTAAATAAATTGAAAATGTTAGAGGCGGTTGATAAAATGCTGTGTAGTTGATAAACCTATTATAAATGATGCATCTATACAAAAAGAGAACTTGATAAGCGTTTTTCCTTCTTCAGGCTCTAGTTTGAATCAACATGGAGAAATAAATTTCGTCATAGAAACATGTGACCAGTAATAATGCACCGATGTTTCTATTTGATAGAGCAACGTATAGCATGGATGGAATGCAAGTAGAAAGTCTAATGGATTCCGGTAGAGCTAGTTTGATGAAAGGTCTTTTAACCTATAGTAGTACTATGAACAAACAAAATACCTTCGGATGGATATTAGAAACAAAAGAGATTATGAACTACAAAATAAATAAGTATACAAAAAATAGGAAAGGTAAAATCACTTTCTGTATCCCACTAACTCATTTCTTTGGCTTTGCTGAATGTTACAATAAAATAGTTTATGGAAGAAAACATCAGTTATCACTTTACAGATCACCAGAAAACAAGAACAGTATTACTTCTTCAGACCCACAGAAGTTCACAGCAAAACTGACAATCAACAAGTTGCAATGGATTATACCAAAGATTGTTCCCAGTCTAGAAATGCAGAATAAATTGTTGAATATTTTTGAAAGCAGTAAACTCGTACAGATGCCCTTTATTTCTAGACAGTTCGAAAGTTATAATATTCCGAATGGAAATCGAGAATTTACTTGGAAATTAGGCACAAAGTATGATAAAATAAAGTATATTGTACTGGCTTTCCAATGTGCAAGAGATAATAATTATTTGAATGCGGGCAAGTTTGACAATTGTGGGCTGGAAGAGATTTATGTTGAGTTAAATTCAGAGAGATATCCTCATGATTGTTTGAAGTTTGATTTTGATAAGTTTAATGCTGTGCAACAATATATAACTTTGCGAAAGAATTTAGAAACAGTTACTACGAATCAACTAAAGATTATATTTTCATGGAGGAAGATGTATACTATTACTATTACCCTCTTTTAGTATTTGATGTATCTAAAAGAATGATAGAATTATACAATCTAGACCTGATGTTACAATAAAAGCATCTTTCTCCAAGAGTATTGCTCAAAGTACTAAATGTTATTGTTTGGTTTTGAGTGAGAATATTGTTGAAATTAAAGATAATAGAGTTCCAGCCAATGCGGTAAACCTACAAACTTTGAGCACCTTCAAGCAAGAAGAGCCGGCTCCAGCGCCAGTGGTGCCTAAAGATGTGCCTGAAAAGAAGGCGGCAGCACCGAAAAAAGCGCCAGCGTTCGCCATGGAATCTCTCGGAAGAGAGTTGACAGCCGCTGAGAAGGAGGAGCTTCCGAAGCAGAAAGATTTGGAATTGGCTCGCGATATTTTCGGTGATGACGATTTTGGAGATGATTCCAGAGGAAGCTATGCGAATATCTCATCCAAAGAGGATTTCGAGTACTGGGGAGAGCGCGTCGGTATATTTTTGGCTACGAGGCATAAGGCTGCCAATTATGGAGATATGATTGAAAAGCTGTTGGGTGAGATTACCAAGGATTGTGAGTTTTAAAATAGAATGATCTAGAAAGAAAGCGGAAATTTCAGTAACGCTTGCTGATATTCAGAAGATGGTCACCTACCTTAAACAAATCGGTAATGCAAAGAAGACCGCGGAGGAGCAAAATTCGGTTAGTCCATTTCGATCTTTTTTTTCATGATTTTCATAGCAGGTTTCTGGAAATTCCAGCTTTCTAGCTCATCTAGCAGTCGAGTTATAACCTTTTCGAAGATTTTCGGTCATAGTAAGAGGATCTGAAGCTAAAACTACGATTTTTAAAGCCAGCTTTGTCAAAACTAGGCTATAAACAGGATTTTTCAGCTGAAAACATTATGCTTGTCTGAGAAAAAAAAATTTGAGACGCAGAGAAAAAGTGTCTACGTCTCCACCGTTTGTGTGCTATTTAGGCTCTCCGCATCGATATCGCAACCGTATTCAGACTGCAAAAAATACTCTCTAACCTTTTTTTCCCAGACAAGCATATTACCATTTTAAGACTTTTCAAGCTTTTATAAATACATTAACTGTCTAAAAGACGCCTTTTTTTCAGTTGATTTGCGGCCATTTTGGCTGTTTTTAGGTCTGGAGCTTTAGGGGGATATAAAACAGACCTAGATTGAAAATATGTATTCACAGAATTTTTTGGAAATTTATATGTTTTCAGCTATTTGCTGACACCCTTTTCAGTCCGTTTTGGTTATGAAAACGTTTAAAAAGCTCAAAAATTACGAAAAAAAATCGTTGAAATTAGACCGATCGGGTGTTTTGATCGATTTCAAATTTTGTACTCCTCGTGGACAAGCCATCGCGCGAAGTTTGAATTTTCGCGGTTAAAGATAAATTGACCACCAGAAAATAGATGTTTCAGAGCAAGAAGGGATTCAAAATCGGTGTTTTCCATCTCGAAATTCATATATTTTGATAGTTTTCCCGATTTCTGAAACTAACGATGTTCTAAAAATTCTGTGAACGCAAAGATGATCCATGCTCCAAAAAATTGCCAAAATGGCCGCAAATCAACAGAAAAAGTCTTTTTGACCGTTAGTGTATTTATGAAAGTTTGAAAAGTGCTAAAATAAAATTTTCAGCTGAAAATCCTTTTTCTAGACTATTTATTACATATTTCACTTTGAAAATTGTAAGTTTTCGTGTGTTTGTGGCGAAAATGTTTTTTCTAGCCTACTTTTGACATATTGTGCTTATAAAATCTAAAAGGAGTCAACTGATAAATTGTTAAGGATATTACGCTTAACATTTTATCAGTTGACCACTTTTTGATATCTCTTACAGTAACCCAGATAAATAGGCTTAAAGCTAAAGATCCTGTTTCACAGCAGTGTTGGAAGAACCCCCTCTAACTTTGACCCGATTTATCTAGGTTACTGTAAGAGATATCCAAAAGGAGTCAACTGGTAAATTGTTTTTAATATTATGCTTGACATTTTATCAGTAGACAATTTTTCGATATCTCCTACAGTAACCCAGATAAATGGTGCTAAAAACAGTTTTAAGGAGCCGTTTCGAGTGAATAAGATGGCCAGTGAAAAGGTCAAAGTGCAGGAATTCAACAACCATATTCGTATCCACCGTAAACAGACCCAAAGCACCACGGAGTCGTTCAAGAAGTGAATACCGATATGATTTTGGATTTGTCTTCTAATTTTGTTGTTGAAATAGTTTTTTCTCTCATTCTTGTCCAATAAAAAATTTTATTTGATTTGGGGTCTTCTTTTTCATATCTATGCCAAATTTGAGCGCTCAATTTTCAGTTTGAGCCGAATGACAGCATTTTGAAATTTCTCCTTTGAGAAACGCTTAAAATTCAAATTCTTCTTCTTCGCGGCGTTTTGCGAGAGACGCAGACAAGTTCTCCATAGAGCGCGCGTGCTTTTTTTGCAAGCTGCGGCTCGCCGATTTTCTCCGATTTCCGCTCATTTTCCCCGGATTTTTATCGATTTTCCAGCAAAATCCATGTTTTCCAGGTGAAACATCCGCAAAAATCCATGAAAAATCGTCGAAATGGGCGGTCCGATGCTGCATAAGGCGAAAAAGTGGATTCTAAGCGGCGCGACGGCTCCCGCGAGCAAAAGTGTCGCTCATCGAATGCTCATCGAGAACGGGTTCATTTTGCCGACGGCTAAGGGATTTTATAGGTGTGATTTAAAGGAAAATTCTGGAAAAAAATTCGAAAATTTTGAAAAAATAGTTTTTTTGGCTGAAAATTGTCTGAAAACTTGATTTTAGGGTTTTTTCCTTGAAAATAACAAATTTTGGGGTGTTTTGGCTGAAAAAAAGCGCCCAAAATAACCTAAAATTCGAAAAAAAAAATTTTTTTTTTCAAAATTTCAATTTCCAGCCTCCTACCTCTCGGCCAGCGTGTCATCGACAAACTATGCCGTATTCTGGATTCAGAATTTCAGAATTCTGGCGCTATGAAGGTTGGAATGCCCATAGTGGGTACAAAACAACTATGGGACCGAACTAGGCGATGGGAAGCCATGGGATCGGAAATGCTCAAGTTTGAGGATCGGCAGAAGGCTCAGTTGTGTCTACAAGTGGGTAAGATCTCTGAAATTTTGAGAGTATGAGCTGAAAATGGTCCAAAAAGCGGAAAATTCGAGAAAAAATGGTCCAAAATAGCTTAAAATGGTGTAAAATACCTAAAAATGGTGGAAAATGCTCCAAATTAGTCTAGAAACATCCGCAAAAGCGTCATCTAGCTTAATTTTGCCTACAGTAACCCTTTAAAAAAGCGAAAATTCGTCTAAAATCAACCTTCATGCCCTAAAAAGGACCGCCTAAAATGCCCTAAAACGCCTAAAATTGCCTGGAAAAACCCAGAAAAATAGCTTAAAATAGTCTCAAACAGGCTGAAAACGCTCTAATTAGCGTGAGATTGATCGAAAAATAGTCTAAAGTGGCCTGAAAATGGGCTAAAATGCTCAAAAATAGCCAGGAAATGGTCATAAATGATCCAAAATAGCCTACAATAGGCCTAAAATGGTCCAAAACAGCTTTAAAATGGCCTAAAATAGCTTAAAAGTGTCTGAAAATGGGGTTGAAGCGTCTGAAAAGTGTAAAAATAGCATAAAAACGGCCAAAAACAGCTTTAAAATGGCCTAAAATAGCTCAAAAATTGCTTAAAAATGGCCTCAAATAGGCCTAAAATGGCCTAAAATAGCTTTAAAATGGCTTCAAATATACCTAAAACGCCCTAAAACGCCTAAAATGAACCTGAACTGGCCTAAAATTGCCTGGAAAAACCCAGAAAATAGCTTAAAAATAGTCTAAAATAGCTTAAAAATGACCTGGAATAGCTTAAAAATGGTTCAAAATAGCTTAGAAATGGCCTCAAATAGGCCTAAAATGGTCCAAAATTGCTTAAAATGACTCTAAATTGGCTTAAGTAGTTCAAATTTGGTCGGAAAATAACTCTAAAATGGCCCTAATTGACTTAAAATTCACCAAAAACGCCTAAAATGGACCTGAACTGGTCTAAAATGAGCTAAAATTGCCTGAAAGTGACTTAAAATGAATTGAAAATGCCTGAAATAAACCTAATATGAACTAAAATGGCCTGAAAATGACTTGAAATGACCCAGAAATAGCTTAAAATGGTCAAAAATTAGCAAAAACGCGTTTTTTTTCGCATTTTCGCATTACGGTAGACGATTTGTAACCAACATTGGTCTAAAAAGACCCCCAAAAAGCGGAAAAACTAGCTCAAATTGGTCCCAAATCAACCTCAAACATTGATTTTCTGCAGCCAACCGCCGAAGAGATGTGCACGGACTTAATTGCCCAATTATCTCCACTGAAAAAGTCTCAGTTGCCAGTGATGTTGTATCAAATCGGAGAGAAGTTTCGAGACGAAATGAATCCGAGATTCGGTCTGATGAGAGCCCGACAGTTCCTGATGAAAGACATGTATTCGTTCGCATTGGATTCAGAATCATCTCAGAAGACGTATCACAACATTTCAAATGTTTATGATAGGATATTCGGCGAACAGTTGCAGTTGGCCGATGATTTGATAAAGGTAAGTGTCTGAAAATAGGGTTGAAGCGTCTGAAAAGTGTAAAAATAGCCTAAAAACGGTCAAAAATAGCCTAAAAATAGTCCAAAATAGCCTAAAAATAGTCCAATATAGGTCTGAAATGGCTCTAAATGACTCTAAAAAAGACGTGAATGGCTCAAAAAATGTTTTAAATGGTCCAAAATAGCTTTATGATAGGTCAAAATGGCTTTAAATGATTCCAAATAACCTAAAAACGGCCAAAAATAGCTTTAAAATAGTCCAAAATAGCCTAAAAATGGTCTAAAATAGCCTAAAAATAGTCCCATATAGCTGTAAAATGGTCCAATATAGGTCTAAAATGACTCAAAAGATACCCTAAAA